ACCTGTTGGCAGACAGGACTCACTGACATGAGATGGTGACCTGGCTGAAGGCATAACATTTCACGCTTAGAAGCCCCCCAGCTATTTTCTTTTAAATTAATTAATTTTTAAGTTTACATCCAAGTTAGTTAGCATATAGTGCAACAATGGTTTCAGGAATAGATTCCCTAGTGCCCCTTACCCATTCAGCCCATCACCCCCGCCATAACCCCTCCAGCAACCCTCTGTTTGTTCTCTATATTTAAGAGTCTCTTATGTTTTGTCCCCCTCCCTGTTTTTACATTATTTTTCTTTCCCTTTCCTTATGTTCGTCTGCTTTGTATATTAGATTCCTCATATGAGGGAAGTCATATGATATGTCTTTCTCTAATTTCGCTCAGCATAATACCCTCCGGTTCCAACCACGTAGTTGCAGATGGCAAGATTTCATTCTTTTTGATTGCTGAGTAATACTCCAGTGTGTGTGTGTGTGTGTGTGTGTGTGTGTGTGTGTGTGTGTGTGTGTGCGCCCACGTGTGCACGCGTGTATATGTACATACACACACACACACACACACCACATCTTCTTTATCCATTCATCTGTTGATGGACATTTGGGCTCTTTCCATACTTCGGCTATTGTTGATAGTGCTGCTGTAAACATTGGGGTGCATGTGTCCCTCAGAAACAGCACACCTGTATCCCTTGGATAAATACCTACTAGTGGGTCCTTTTTTTGAGGAACCTCCGCACTGTTTTCCAGAGTGGCTGCACCAGCTTGCATTCCTACCAGCAATGCAAAAGAGATCCTCTTTCTCCGCATCCTTGCCAACATCTGTTGTTGCCTGAGTTGTTAATATTCGCCATTCTGACAGGTGTGAGGTGGTATCTCATTGTGGTTTTGATTTGTATTTCCCTGATGATGCATGATGTTGAGAATTTTTTCGTGTGTCTGTTGGCCATCTGGATGTCTTCTTTGGGGAAGTAAGGCACAGCTCTTTCTTTCAGTAGAAATTCTAATTTCTGAAATTTCTTTCAGTAGAATTCTAATTAACAAATACAGAATGAAGGGTAGAAATAGAAAATCGTCATTAAGCAATTACCACAGTAATAACTATTGTAGGCGAGAATTATCAATAGATACAACAATAGTGGAGCAAAGGTACGATGAGAAAGAGGATATTTGCAGAATCTCAAAATGTATCCCTGCGAGAACCTTTGCTGATGACAAAGGGTGAAGAAATTTGGTAGACACCACCTTGACCAAGCTAAAAAGTCAACACCGCCAGTAATGAGATGGGTGTCCTCATGTACCTCCTGATGGCTCAACATCACTTCTGTGATATTCTTGCCAAAAATGCACAGCCTCAACCTAATCATGAGAATGCATCAGACAAACCCAAATCAGAGAACAGTGTACAACATAACTAGCCTGGACTCTTCCAACATGTCAAGGTTGTGAAAGGCAAAGACAAACTGAGGACTTGCCACAGATTGGAGAAGGCTAAGTAGAGGCACAGCAATTAAATGCAATCCAGGATCTTGGACTGAAAAAAAAAAAAGACATAAGTGGGACAGTTTTTGACCTTTGAATAAGACTTGCAGGTTGTTTGTTTTGTGTCAATGTAAGTTTCATTATTTTAATTATTAGCCATGGGATGCCTGGGTGGCTTAGTCGGTTAAAGTGTTCAACTCTTGATCTCTGCTTAGGTCATGATCTCACAGTTCATGAGTTCGAGCCCTGTGTTGGGCTCTGCGCTGCCTGAGTGCAGAGCCTGCTTGGGAATCTCTCTCCTCCTCTGTCGGTGCCCTTGCCTCTCGAGCATACTTTCTCTCTCTCCCTAAATAAATAAATAAATAAATAAATGCATGCATGCATGCATGCATGCCATGGTTATGTAAGGTGTTAACAGAAGGAAAAGTTGGGAGGATGGGATTTAGGAACTCTACCTAAGTTTTGCAATTCTTTGTGAGTCTAAAATTATTTCCAAAAAGAAAAGTTAAAAAGGAACATTCTGATATGATTTTGAACAATTTGGAATTTCTTTTTTGGCAGGAAGAGGAGAGTGATATATCAAAAGACACCTCTTTATAATATCTTCTGTTGGGGTTTCAGTTTTGCAATCAGTTTTAGAGTAATTGTGATTGTTTTGGGTTTTGTTTTGTTTTTAAAGCAGTAGCCCTTTAACCTGTGACCTGATAGAGCCTTTAATAATTATCCTCACATATTTATTTCCAGGTAAAAAACCTTGAGCAATGGTGACTTACTCCCAATGGCAATGGAACCAGGATTTTAATTCTTTGGGTCATCTTTTTTTTTTTTTTTAACAAGGTCTGGCTTTCTCTGACCTAAAGCCATGGGTATAATAGAAACATTTCAGAAAACTAGTCTAATCTTAATATCCAACAAATTGTAAGATCAAGATGTGGATTTTTGTTCCCCAAGGAGCAGATTAAAAAAAGAAAACCTTATGTGTCTGTATTGCCTTCTGAGTAATTTAAGTTCCTTGAGGGGACCTTCTGGGTCTCCTTTCCTCATCTGTATCCCTGGCTTCCAGCCAGTGCTATACTCTTCCTGGATCATGGAGCAGAATATGGAGAAAGTGCAAATCTAAGTGGTGGGGGACTGGGAAGAGAATGGTGTGATGGAACTAACTTTTTTTTTTAATCACAAATTTAAATAGAAAAAAATTTGATTTGCCTTACTAAGGCTTAATTCCATAAAAATCTTTGATCTCTGAAAAATGATAGATTCAAAGTAGAGTAAGTAACCAAAAAAAAACCCAAAAACAAATTAGAGACCTCTGACTTCCCCATTGGCAGTAATGTGTCCCCTGATGACATTTATTTTTCTAATTTAAAATTAAACATCCATCTCTCCTGTTGTTGACTTTTTACTGCATTAATTTGTGTCACTTTTTCATTAGCATTTCATCTGTGTCTAAAATACTTCATCTCCTGTTTGCTTTGTCTTCCAGAAACTGTATTTGACCTTAGCTGTTACATAAATTGCATGTCATTGAAAAACAAACAAACAAACAAACAATTTTTAAGAGTTGACTTTGAGGGGTTTGAAGAAGTTCTTCATCAGTCCAGAAACTATTTTAGATGGAGGCGAATTGAGTACAGGACTGTCCCATAGAATGAGATCTTTTTTGGGGGTGGGGGTTGAAAATAGAGACACAGATCCTCACCGAGGTCTGTTGGGTCCAGATGACAGCATCTCCAAGTCACCTTGGCCCGAAGTTGAAGTAATATTAGATTATTTGTCCTCTGCCTACAATGAATCAACAACTAAGGAACTAAATTCAGATTCCTGAATGCCTCTCCTGCCTTTGGCTGCTTATGTCTTCTGTCCCCAATTCAGAGGGTTTTTTTTTGTTTTGTTTTTTTTGTTTTTGAGACACCTTTGTCTTTTAGGAAAGATGCCCAAGTGGTATGTATTCTAACAGATGAAACAAAACTGGCTTCCAATGTAGTAAAAGTCTAACACCCATCATATAAAATTAACCATAATTTTTTTTACAGTGATTTCTCAGGAGCTTTATTTAAGGCGGCAGATGCAAATGCAACCTTCCCTGCTAGCTGGAGAAAAAAATTATGTAATTTAAATTAATGTTTTACCATACTTGGGATGGAGAAGACTGAACTTGCCTGTTTTGTGGTCCTTCATACGTTTTAGCTAACTTAGTTTAATTCATTTGCAAAGTAAACAAATTGATTTTTTGTGTGTGAGAAGGAGGATTAGATTCTGGATACCTTTTCAAAAATATTTGTTATGTACAATTTTAAACTGCCTCATTTTTTTTTCACTCTTGTTTTCTTAACGCAGACTTCCTTTCATTAGTTGAACTAATGAACTTCTGTCTAGGTATATTTTATGCCAAAGAATATGCAGTGTGTTAGAGTCAGAATTGCTAAGGCTAAGACTGTGTCCTGTATCAACTTGCTAAATGTTTAGAAGCCTAGTATCACATCTTTTGGTTTTCTCAGTTATGTATCTTTTAAGCAACGTCAATAGAGTTGACGTCAATGGAACTATTATTTTTAGAATGCCAGTTTAAGAGCATTTGGCTTTTCCTGCATCTGACTTTGAAATGCAATTTAAGAAGATTAATCTGAAATGTCATTTGGCCAGGTATGAATCATTGTCATTTACCAGTAAACCTTTGAGTTCATATTGCCATCTGAAATGGAAACGGAGTCTAGCCACAAGAAATAGCTGTAGCATTTTAGCATCTTTAGCATTTTCTTTCCTTTTTTAAAACGTGTTTATTTTTGAGAGGGAGAGAGAGAGAGAGAGAGCGCGAGCATGAGCGGGGGAGGGGCAGAAAGAGGGAGACAGAAGATCAGAAGCAGGCTCTGTGCTGACAGCAGCAAGCTTCATGCGGGGCTTGAACTCATGAACTGTGAGATCACGACCTGAGCTGAAGTTGGATGCTCAACCAACTGAACCACCCAGGCTCCCCTTTAGCATTTTCTGCCATGGCATGGATGGCAATCAATGAAACCAAGGGCCCCATGAAGTGATTTTTGCCTGAAGGAATGATTTTTATATTGCTTCAAAGGTTCTATTCCCCAGGAAACTAATGAGGTTTTTATAATTCCTGAGGCACTACCTACCTGATCCTAGTTTTTAGGGGTTCTAAAGCTAGGACTATAATCTTTTAAACATTTCTTAAATGAATGTGGAGGGGAAAGGAGCATCTTTTGCATACGTACACAAATAATTGAGGTGGTCCAAAAGCTTGGTTGTCTGGTCTTAGTAGCTGTTGACGGAAGAACGGAAGCTGACTGGTGGGTCCGGTCATGGGTGCTTTGAGTAGCGACTCCCAGCCATGGCAGAGGACTGGGGCCGATGTCGGAATTGCTCTTTGTGTTACCATTTGAACTGTGGGGAGAAAAAGCAGTTGGCGATCCACTGGTATAAAGTCAGCCAGATGAGGAGAGGTCCTAGAAGGCTGGAATTCTGGGCTCCACTGATGACAGAGACCTCATCTCTTTAATATCTCTGGTTTCAGATTGCCTGCTTGGTACCTGTGGACCAGTTTCAGCTTTATCAACGGTTAAAATTTGAACGAGGTATGTATGCATGCTCCTGTCTATCCCGATGGTGGATTGTGGCTTTACAATATGTCATCTGCGCACTAACCTGAAACCATCGTGTAAGGTTGGGGCGGCTGTGGGCTGTCAACAGAGCCACAAGGACACGCCAAAAGGGGAAAAACTGTAATTGCAACACAAAATTTCAGCTTTCTCAGCCAGAGGTAGAAAAAATGCGGACGAGCAGGAACTAGAAGCTTCCTTATTTTGGTTGCTTTATATTTTTAATTTGGCTCACGTGAAGAGAGGTTCTACAAAAGCTGGGATAGTTTCACAAAAGAACATGTTCCTTAAAATGGGTTTTACCACCCATTTACCCCTCCTGAAGATCACTTCAAAACATGAATCAACCCAAACATTTTTACTGCTGCTTGTGATACTCACCATTCATTCCTTTGATACTAGTAATCATAGTGATGGCTGAGTGTGTCCTTCCCATGCGATCTACAATGCATCAGACTCATTTTCTTTCTCACTTTGGCCTTGGGGTAATTGATAGGGCTTTTTTCTTTGTACTGTCTTTTTACCTGTAGGATTCATTCATTCATTCATTCATTCATTCATTCATTCATTCTCCTTTTGGCTTCTTGCAGATCTTTTTCAAGGAGCCCTTTCCCTGCTGTCACACCCTGTACGTTTTTAAAAAAAAATTTTATCGTTTATTTTTGAGAGATAGAGCACAAGCGGGGGAGGGGCAGAGAGAGAGGGAGACACAGAATCTGAAGCAGGTTTCAGGCTTTGAGCTGTCAGCCCAGAGCCCTACGTGGGGCTCGAGCTCACGAACCTGAGCCGAAGATCATGACCTGAGCCGAAGTCAGTCACTCAACTGACTGAGCCACCCAGGTGCCCCGACACCCTGTACATTCTTGAACTAAATGGTCTGTTTTTCCATATCTGAGAAATAGGAGAAAATTGCTTTTGGGTCTCATTGAGTACCCAAAATAAACTGTCATACAGCATGAACATACAGTTTTCTATTGATAACTTTTAAATCTGTGTCAGTAAAGTCTAGAGGTGAGGGTAGGGGGAAAGAGGTACAGTTATGTCTCTGGTGCCAGTAAGTTTGATAAACACAATTACCTTTACCTCATTTAGCTTTTGCAGTCACCCTGACAGATGATTCTTACATGAGAAAAGAAGACCATGCAGAATATGAGGGGACAAGAGTAGACCAGCGGGGGAGTCATGGGATGGCTCTCACTACCTAGGACCAAGGTTTGGCCAGTTTCATAGGCTAATTTTTTTTTTTTTTTAGCAAGCCAAAAGCAGATTCATCTCTCCTGGGCAGATCATTTAACTACATTTTTAAGGCTGAAATATTAAAATGGAAATTACTAAAACAATTCTTGGACTAGATTACTTGAATTACATTTTTGCCTCATAGGAAGATGCAGGTAACGGGTGAGGAAATAGTTAGGATGTTGTTGAATGTGGAATCTGAACCAGCAAAGTCAGGTGAATTTTAGGTTTGATTCATGAAGACACAGCCCCGTGAATCAGTCCTGTGTGGATTCTCAGCCAGCTGGAGAAGTTAATGATGGGGTACTTTACATCTCAGATCTAGCCATGCTGGCTGATTAATACAGCCCGGGGTGCTTATTGGGTGTGATGGCCAGAGATGATAATGTCAAACACCTGGCCTGCCATTCTCCCACTTTATCCCAGTATCCTCTGTTATAAAGATAAATTACTGTGGGAACACAGACATTCCAACTATTCACCCCACACATGGATGTGGCTGTAGCCAGTGCAGTGATTTAAGGGGTCTTACCTGGAGAAAGTCAAAGAAGTTAGACTGCATTTTCAGTCTTCTTAACTGGTGAGCTCTGTCAGTCTCACTAGTCCTACTCAGTAACCGGGGCTCTGCCCATTGTTGGTATGCCCTTGGCCTATACGCACCTCTGCTTTCTCCTGCCCTGGACCTCCTCCTCACCTGCCTGCAGCCCCATCTGTCAGGGGCAGGCCTCATTCCTCATTGTTTACATTTTACAGACTACTTACTAGCTGAAGTGTCGTTTTGTAATTCATGAGACAAATTCTAAGAGTACTAGGAATTAAAACTTTGTGTGAGTTGGTTCTCACTGATGAATATAAGCTTTTAGTGTATTTAAAACATAGTGGCTAAGAGCCTTGGCTGGGAACGCAGGCCCTACGGCTTACCAGCTGCGTGACCTTGGACAAGATACTTAATTTGTGTACCTGGATTTCCTCGGCTGCAACATGCGGATGATGTTGGTTCCCCTCCCATGTGGTTGGGATGAGGACTAAATGAATTAAAACATGTAAAGCACTTCCTTGAGTACTTCGTCTCCATGTTCAAAATGTCAACAGCTGTTGATAATAAAAATACTAATAACTTCAGAGGGGCACCTTTTACATTGACGCATATGCAGTGTTCTTGTCTTATTCCCCAAATGGGATAATCTTCACATTCTCTAGGAAATATCCCCATATTGAAATAGAGAATAGGGGCGCCTGGGTGGCTCAGTCAGTTAAGCGTCCGACTTGGGCTCAGGTCATGATCTCGCGGTCCGTGAGTTCGAGCCCCGCATCGGGCTCTGTGCTGACAGCTCAGAGCCTGAAGCCTGTTTCAGATTCTGTGTCTCCCTCTCTTTCTGACCCTCCCCTTTCATGCTCTGTCTCTCTCTGTCTCAAAAATAAATAAACGTTAAAAAAAATTTACAAAAAATGAAATCGAGAATACGATTATCTTGTTGTTAGTGGGATTAGAACATGTGAAGTTAATTGGCCACATCGTGTGTGTGTGTGTGTGTACATACATACATTCTTGAGTTCGGACAAATTGATGACACACATGTGCCATTACAGTATCATACACAGCGTTTCACTGCCCTAAAATTCCTCTAGGCTCCACTTCCTCATCTTTTCCCACTACCCACTGGCTGCCACTGATCTTCTTAATGTGCCCATAGTTTTGCCTTTTCTGGAGTGTCCTACAGTTAGAATCATGCAATATGTAGCCTTCTCAGATTGGCATCTTTCACTGAGCAATACGCTCTTAAGTGCTACATCCATGCTTGTGGTAGGAAAAGCCTTGCTGCGGGAGAGGTCCACATGGAAAATCATTGGCCAGGACTCTCGTTCTCCCCCAGAAAGCTTGGATAGATGTCCTCACACTTTACTTTGTGATTGGGACTTTTTGATGTTCTTGTAGTGTTCAGCCCTACTTCTGATTGGCTTATTTATTCATCAGGTGTGTTAATATACTCGGTCCAGTTACAGTCAAGTTGGGGAGGTCTTAGAGCCAGTTTGTAGGTAGTCTTGCATATCTTTGATTTGATGCATTATAAATTGATCAAGCAGTTTTATTCATACACGGAATTTATTTTTTCTCACAAGTTCCAGGTGGATGTCCCATTACCCATCCCACGAACTGATAATGGATTTTATTATTCCTACTTTGTAGATGAAGAGAGTGAAAACTGGAGAGGTTGAGACTTGCCCAGCATCACATAGACTGTGTCTAAGCTTCCTCATCTATAGATTGTGTGTTGTGTTAATTGCATAATTTTTTACTAAGGTAATATGTATCTGCAAAACATAAAACTTACCATTTCATCCATTTTAGGTGTACAATTCAGTGGTGTTAGGAACACACACAGTGTTGTGTAACCATCACTACCGTCTACTTATCACCCCAAGCAGAAACTGTTGTCATTAAATAATAACTTCGCATTTCCCTTTTTTCCCCGGCCCTTGGTACTTGTAATCTGCTTGCTGTTCTGTAAACTTGCCTAGTGTAGATATTTCATTTAAGTGGAATCATACACTATATTCCTTTTGGGTCTGGCTTACTTCCCTTAGTATAATGTTTTGAAGGTTCAAAACATGGTGCTGTGTATCAGCACTTTTTATGGCTGAATAATATGCCACTGTATGGATATCACACATTTTGTTTATCCATTCATCTGTTATAGGACACTTGGATCGTTTTTACCTTTTGCCTGCTGTGAATAATGCTACAGGGAACACTGGGGACCAAGTATCTTTTTGAGTCCTAGCTTTCAGTTCCAATGGGTGTATACTTAGAAGTGGAATTGCTTGGTCATGTGCTGAATTCTGTATTTGGTGTTTGAGGAACTGCCCAAACTCTGTCATTTAAATATAAATTAAATTGTATATTTTTACTATCATAAAGCATGGAACCACAATTACATTTGGAAGTATGTTAAATCTGGGAGTTTGGTTCAACTCCCTTGTTTTATAAGAAAGGAAACCAAAGTCCAGAGACATTTTGATCTGAGGTGATTTGGGAAGGCAGTTTATAATTATTTATTTATTTATTTTAAAGTTTATTTATTTATTTTGAGAGACAGAATGAATGGAGGAGGCGCAGAGAGAGAATCCTAAGCAGGTTCCGCACTGTTAGCACAGAGCCTGACGTGGAGCTTGAACTCATGAGCCATGAGATCGTGACTTGAGCCAAAGTTGGACAGACGCTTAACTGACTGAGCCACCCAGGTGCCCCTATAATTCTTTAGTATCAATTCATGCACTTTTTCTTTATCCATCCATGATACAGAGTAATTAGAGAAGGGCATTCCAAGTAAGAGTAAGTTTAAATCAATACAGTGTTATGGAAGGGAATTTACTTGATTGGGATGATCTTTATCTAAATTGTATATCTTGTTTTTACTCAATAGACTTCATATCTACCTCGGACTCAAGACTTACCAGCTAGGTCACTTTGGGGTCTATGCCACAAAAAATATTTTATGTGGAACTGTTTACAAGGGGGTCTTGGGATGCTTTAAATACTGATGTGAATGATCTAAAGGGCTAACTTGTGGAAAGTAAAACTCACTGACTGGGCTCTCAGAGGTGTAGAGACTGTCGTTGCTCTGGAAAAAGACTCAGATTAGTGGTGGCCTTGTATCTTAGTTATACACATTTCCATTAGTTTTGCCCCATGCTTATTGCCTACCAAGTTCTCGGTTTTTAGTCTGTCATCCGTGTTT